GTTATGAACATTTGGGTACGTGAGCATATCTTTTAATTTCTCTTGGTATAGAACCAGGAATGGAATTGCTGGGTTGTATCATAATTCATTTTTTGAGGAACTACCAAACTGTTTTCAATTTCTCACATCAGCAAAATGTGAGGGTTCCAATTGCCCCAGATGCTTGCCAACACCTGTTGATTAGCTGATTTTTTTTTTCTATGATAGCCACCCTAGTGGATTGATACCTTCAATTTGCATTATCCTCAGGCTATTGGTGTAGAGCATTTTTTTCATGTGCTTAATAGTTATTTGTATATTTCTTTTTTAAATATATATTTTTTAGTTATAGGTGGACACAATATCTTTATTTTATTTTTATGTGGTGCTGAGGATGATCAACCCGGTGCCTCACACATGGTAGGCAAGTGTTCTACCTCTGAGCCACAACCCCAGCCCTATTTGGGTATTTTCTTTGGAGAGAGATCTATTCAAATCCTTTGTCCATTTTTAAACTTGAGTTTGTTATCTTTTTAATATTGAGTCACAAGAGTTCTTTATATATTTTAGTTACATTTCCCTTATCAGATATATGATGTGTAAATATTTCCTCCCATACTCTGGGTTGTCTTTTCGTTTTCTTGATAGTATCATTTTCGTTTTGTGGGTTGGGTCCTGTGGACGTTCTGGTGGAGGGAAATGGGGGAAAGAAACCAAATCCTTGTGGATGAGGTGAGAGATTTTTTTTTTTTTTCTCAGAACTTGAAGCGAAGAGCTTTGTCCATGAAGGCGGAGCAGCAGGCTTTAGAACAGGGCTCTTGGCTTGGAATTGAGCGTGATGGGTTTATTATTCCTCTTGGATACAGTAACAGTAAGGTAGTTTAATTTTTTTCCTATATTTAATTATTTTTTTAAAAAAGAAAGTCTGATGCCTCCAACGCTTCCCACTCAGCATGCCTGCCTCACAGTTTAGAATGGCATGGAATAATGACTAATAGGGGAATTTCTGTTGTCTCTTTCCTCACCTCACTAGAATGTTCCCTGAAGGCAGGCCTTTCCCCCACCTCTTAGCATGAAATTTGGCACACAGTAAGAGCTTATTAAATAATTGTCATAAGAATGAATGCCTAGGGCTGGGGATGTGGCTCAAGCGGTATCGCGCTCGCCTGGCATGCGTGCGGACCCAGGTTCGATCCTCAGCACCACATACCAACGAAGATGTTGTGTCGGCGGAAAACTAAAAAATAAGTATTAAAAATTCTCTCTCTCTCTCTTTCCAAAAAATAATAAAAATAAATAGGTCCAAAAAAAAAAAAAAGAATGAATGCCCAGAAACTCTCTGCTTACATTCTCCCAACTCATCAAAAGTCTGGAAGGAAAGAGTCTCTTCTTCATGGTTGCTATACAAGATCCAGATTCGTTTCTCATTGGCCTAACTTGGGTCACATGTTAGTCCCTGAACCAATCAATGGGATTAAAGGGATGGAATATGCTAATTGCCAGATCTGGTCATGTGTCCACTCTTGCAACCAAGGGAGTGGGAAGGGGTATTTTCAGGAAGTGGGAAGGGGTATTTTCAGGAATTAAGAACAGAGTGAGGGCTGGGGTTGTGGCTCAGTGGTTGGGCGCTTGCCTGGCATTTGTGAGGTACTGAGTTTGATCCTCAGCACCACATAAAAATAAATAAATTAAATAAAGGTACTGTGTCCATCTACAACTAAAAATAAATTTTAAAAAACAAAGAATAGGATGAATTAGTCCACTACAGACAAATCAAGATTCTCATGCAAAAGAGGATGCTTTTGGGCCAGATAAAAATATGGAGAAGTTAAATAACTTGTCCAGTGCCACAGAGCTTTAGGTAATGGAACACCCCCCCTCCCCCATCATTTGTGTTGTTTAGCCTGGACTTGGGAAAACTAGTTTAGCCTCCTTGGCCTCCTCCTTCCTTCCTGAACTCCCCCGGGTCTCATAATTTCAGGAATAACTTTGTCTTTTGCAAAAAGTCAAAGGAGTTTTCTTAAGGTAACCAAAAGAACCAGCCTTTCAAACCAAAATTTTGTCATCTATCTTCTCGATCTTGTATTTTCCAAAATTTGTAACACAGATGCCAAAGGGTGAACTACTCCCTGGTGGGCTTCAGGATCCATTTCTTCTTTTGATCTCCGACCACCTTAGGAGATGCTGCCTGTATGTCACCCCCTCCTCAGCCTTGTAAACTTGAACCTACCCCCAGCAGATGCCATTGCAGTTGGTAAACCTGAAGGCCTGAAGTTTTCCAAGAGAATCTGGATTTTTGTAGGCCTCAAATACTGAAGAGTCAAGGCTCAGGGACAGGACACTCAAGCGGCCTGTGTATACTGGGATCTGGGCCCAGTCCTGACTCAGCCACTTAACTATCTGTGCAAGCAGGGGAAAATCACTTCAATTGCTCTCTGTGCAAACTGTCAGAAGGTTGTGATGATGATGGAAAGGGATAATGCCTTCGAATTAGACCATTTTCTTTCGCCAGTAACACAATACCACAGACAGGAGGAGTTATAAAGAAAGGAGGTTTATTTTGGCTCAAGGTTCTGGAAAGGCAAGGTTGAGGACCTGCAGCTGGTGATGGTCTTCCTGCTGGCAGAGTCCAGAGGAGGTGTGGGGTATCATGTGAAGAGAGCTAGGGAGTGTGTGTGTGTGTGTGTGTGTGCGTGTGTGTGTGTGTGTGCGTGCGTGCGTGTGTGTGTGTGGTGTGTCCATCTGTCTGTCTTTAGCTGCCAGCATTAATCATTATCTAATCCTAATCACCTCCAACTCTAAAGATAGTCAGATTAAATCTCTACCCTCCTAATACCTTGGAGTGGGGATCAGATGTCCCAAATGTCCACACAGGAAGCCTCGGGGACACACTTAACCATGTCCAACCCTTGGCATCCTGGAAAGCCGTTGCCTCAGAGCCAAACAAAAAGTGAAGTTCCTATGAATATCAGCTCTTTGGTCCCCCAAAAGACATCAGAGCAAGCATTCCACATGACAGATGGTCCCGACCACAGAAGCATATTCCCAACCCATTGATGAGAGGAAGGAAAAGAACAAACGTCAGTATACCCACAGTGTCCCTGTCTCTCTGATCTTCCTGTGGTCTTGGTGTTTGCCTGGGACTCTGGGTGACTTCCACCTCTATGGGGGTTCTCCCTCACCTCCCCCCACCTTCCAGGACAGAGGCGATCCTGATAAAGGACTCTTCGGGGCACAAGGAGCAGGTTTATGTTGCACATCCCACTGGGGTGGCCCTTTGCTAGACATTCCCTGCTGGAAACCCTCCTGTCCCTCTCCGTCTGGCAGTGCCTGAGCAGGGAAGTTCACATGTTCCCTCTGAAGGCCTAATTTTTTTGATCCTGATGAAAAAACTGGTAGCTGGGCGTAGTGGTGCATGACTGTAATCCCAGCTGCTCAGGAGGCTGAGGCAGGAGGATCGTGAGTTCAAAGCCAGCCTCAACAACTTAGCAAGACGCTAAGCAGCTCAGTGAGACCCTCAGTGAGACCCTGCCTTTAAATAAAATATAAATAGGTCTGGGGATGTGGCTCAGTGGCCTAGTGCCCCGACTTCAATCCCAGGTACCCTTCCCACAAAGAAGAAGAAAACTGGTGATGGATTCACAGGAGAAACACCATAACATTTCTTCTATCACAGTTTTGCAGGACATGAGAACCTTCAGATGGAAGACCAAAGGTCCAGGATAAAGTATCCGTTTTATGCTGAGGTTCAGTGAAACCTTAATAGCCATGTAGAAATACTCGGAGTCCTCTGGGTCCCTCAGTTGTAGCATTTCTCCCAGTTGGGTGTGGGGCAGATCCCCTTCTGGAATGTGGGTCTTATGCCCTACTATCAAACTAGGTAGGTCAGAGAATTTCTTTATGGCCATTTCTCATGCAGAGAAGTAGGGAAGAATTGGAGTATTTGTAGATTTTATGGCTAGCTTTGGGGAAAATGGGTTCTGGTTTCTATGATTTGTCTTGAGGAAGAGGAATTCTAGTTCCTGGTTTCTGGTTTGCCTGGGGGAAGGATGAGGGTGAGCTGCAGGAGTCCAGCTGTATAAAAGTCCTTTTTTAAAAAAACATTTATTTATGTATCTTTAGTTTTAGGTGAACATATTACTTTGTTTTTATGTGGTGCTGAGGATTGAACTCAGTGCCTCATGCATGCTAGGCGAGCACTCTACCACTGAGCCACAACCCCAGCCCTGTATAAAAGTCCTTTGGCAAGAGGTTCCACTTTAGAAGTGGGTCATAAGTGAAGGGAAAGATGTTTACATTCCTCAGCGCTTGGAAATCAGCTAAGTGTGGATTGGTTCTAGCTGGCCCTTCCTGGTTGTGTCCGTGACCTCTCTAAGCCTCAGTTTTATGATCTGTAAAATAAGGCTAATGACACCTACCGTCCTTCTAGAGTCAGCATGGAGCTGGAATGAAATAGATCACTCAATAGATGCAACGGTTATTTTTTTATTTCTAAAATATCCTTTCATTAGAAAAAATATCTGGAAGGACATGATTATCAAAATGTTCACAGCAGTTGTCCATTTCCTTTTCTTCTTTATACTTTGCCATATTTATCCATTCATTCCACAGGCTTCTATTAAGCACCTACTATGTGCCAGGCCCTGGGTTCAGTTAGGAATACAGCAATGTAAACAAGACTGGTAAGGAACGCCTAGAGGACATATTGGTTAAATAATTACATAAAGAAATGCAATTGGTGTATGTGCCTAAGTTTTTACAAAGCAGAGATGGGGGGCGGGGAAGCATTTCTCATAAAAGTATCCTAAGGTTAGTTATAGAGATTTCCACAAATGACAAATGGGCGTTAGATGCTGACACTGTGTGTGTATTCAACAGGCGGGGCGCTCGTCACTGAGCAGCGGGGCAGACCAGTGAGGCGGCTGCAGGCTCTGTGGCGGCCACCGGGGGGCGGCCACGTGAGCACCGCAGTCCCGCCCCTGCCCCGTCGCTCCTGCCTTACACCAGACTCTGCCCCAGCCCCGATCTGCTCCTTCCCGGGCTCGGCTCCTGCCAGGATCCAACGCCCACACGCCCCGCGGTGCAGCTGTCCCAGCCCTGCGGTCTGTCGCCTGCGCTCCTGTCCCGGGTACGCAGCCGGGTGCCCCTGGATCGGTCCGCCCTCCCCGCGGTCTCCCCGCTAGCCGGCCCCTGCGCCCCGCTAGCCGCTCCCCGGCACTCTCGGGGGGCCCGCCCGCCCTGCACCCTGGAGCGCCGGGCCGCGAGCCTCTGCCAGCTTCTCTGGATCCTAGCGGCCGTGGGCAGCGGCGGCCGCGCCTGCCCGCCCCAAGGAGGTAGGTGCCATCTGCAGCCGGCGGGCTGGGTGGGGACCGGGACTGGGCTCCGCAGGCCCGCGCGCTCCGGTGCAGCCGGCGGCCCGAGCGCGGCCCCTGACGGCGCGCCTGGAGAATGGGGCGCCCCTCCTCTGGTTGCTCGGGTCCCAGGCGCTCAGTGTTTGCTTCTGTAAAATGGGGAAGTCGTGCACACTAACGGCGGCGTGGATGAGGAACGCACTTGGCAAGCGATGGGCGGCGTTCTGGCCGCGAGAGACAGCTCCGGGCCCCGCAGAGGGTGCCCGCCAGGCTGCCTGTTTGTCCCTTGCGGGGCTTCAAGCCGCAACCCCTACCCCGTCCCCTGAACCAGAGGCCTGCACGGGCCCCAGTTCCCGGAACCTCGGGGACTGTGAGTACGCCCTTGCTGCATCGTTGGCTGCGAGAGTCGGGGTGTTGGCAGGCGCCGGTGACACGTGCGCCTGGGGGCCGAGCATTAACGTGCGCCTGGTGGCGCGGGGGCGGGGACTCCCGGGTAAGCCCGTTCGTGGAATTGTGGGGGACCAACCCAGCTGTGCCCAAGCGTGACAGATGGGCTGCTTGGTGTGTGGGGGGAGGAGATCTGCCCTGGGGAGACACTCTCTAGGAGCCTGAGTTCTGGGTCCTAGAACGTCGTGAGCGCTCCCTTGCCTTTCCTCCGACAGGAGAGCAGATTTTACAGAAGAGGCTCCGAGTTGTTACCGGACTCCCAGAGGCTCCCTAAGTGGCAGCCAGCCACATAAACAGACTCTAATAAGCAAGATGGACTAAGTGGGGGATATGGAGGAAGTTGGTGAGAGATGAGAACGCCCTTTGGGAGTGAGGGTTATTGGGAAGGCTTCCTGGAGGAGGTGATGTCTGAGCCTAGTGGAGAAAGCTTTTCAGTGGAAGAAGATAGTGTGTGCCTCTCTTAAGCCTGGACCACTCTTGACACTTTACTTTTAAAATTTTTTTAAAACTTTATTTTTTTAATGTGGTGCTCAGGATGGATTTTTAAAATAGGAGCTTAGCCTCACGCAGGCTAAGCAAGTGCTGTACCACTGAGCCACAAACCCAGCCCTACTGCACTCCACCTTTGCGGGGCCTGGTGAAGATAACTTTAGGGGCCCAGAAGACCACACAGACAAACCTCCCCTCCAACTCCCCTGGTGGTCCTTGGCTGCCTGCAGAGTAGAATGGGGCCATGGGACTCCACAGTAAGCTCTTTGGGAGATCTGTGGATGTGGCTTGTGGGGGGTATCTTGTCCAGCCAAGCTGTTCAGATTCTTTATCCTGCCGGGATCAGATTCCCCAAAGAAGTCTTGTACAGTTTTCAGTCAAGTTGGCATCTGATTATGTGGTTCGCGGGGAGCTGGTTGGAGAGACCTGGGAGAGCACAACAGAAACTTGGGCTTGCTCAAAATCATCTAGGATTTGCCATTACTGGTAGAATTTTTGAACCCCAAACAGAAAAAATTCGTAATCGTAATCAGGACTTTAATCCTAGAAGGAGCCTCTGGCTGGGCTGATTAAGAACAGTTTTTGTGTTGTGAGAGATCAGTTTTACTGATGAAGAAGTTATAAACGGTCCTGTTCTCCCTGCCCCCACCCCAACTGAGAATGCTCCTAGAAGAAAGCTGTTAGAGAGAGGGCGGTGTCTACACAGGGGGTGATATTGGCTCAGGCTTTCAAGTGCTGTTGGATCAGACTCTTGCAGCGAGGGCTGATGGGCACAAGAACACTTCAAACAAACAAAGGAGTGAGTCACTAATACACTGGTAATAAAGCAAAAGATGAAGATCTGCTGACCTTAGAAGCCACAGGGCTGTGGAATCCCCAGAGCCGCAGTTCAGCTCTCGGCCTTTCTGGACCTGGCTAGGACCAGCAAGGCACAGAAAGTGGCTGAACTGCAGGTAGGTCAGAGGTTCTCCGACCTCAGGGCATAACAACATCCCCTGGAAGCCTTGGTCATGCAGATCTCTGGGCTGCTAACAGAGTTTAATTTATTCCCCTGGAGTGAGGCTCAAACATTTGCATTACCAACAAGTTCCCAGGTGAGGAGGCTGCTGTAACTACTGCTGATGGCCCTGGGATTTTAGAGTTGCTAATGGAGGAAGGGATGACTACATTAAAAGCTCTGGATTCAGCCAGCACTAGTGTCGAGCCCAATTCACACTTTCTGTGTGATTTTGAGTAAGTACCAAATCTCTCTGTTCCTCGTTTTACCCATATGAGAGTGTCTACTAAGAGTGAAACTAAGAGTGTCTACTCCCTGGGATTCAGAGGAGTCTTCCTGGAAGAGGTGACATCTAAGCTGAGACCTGATAGAGAGCAGATGAGCCGGCCAGGGGATGGGTAGGGTGGACAACCTGTGACAGTATGTTCAAAGACCAGGGAGAGGAGTTCCATAGTAAGTGATATAGAAATGCCATGAATCTGTTCTGGGCAGGATGGCCGTGAAAGAGAGCCTGGTCAGGGCCTGGAATTTGTGCAAGTTACTTCTGCCCATTTTCCATTGGCCCACATGTGGTCACATGATCCCACCAAACTGCAGGTGACACTGGGACATGAGTTCACTGGCTGGGCAAGGAATCACCAGCAGATGGAGATCTGACTGAGCCATGGTGGCTTTTTCTTGCTACCCTCTCATTTCTTTTCTCCACTCTGTTGGGTGAATGCATTTTATAGATGAGGAAGCTGAGGTTCAGAGAGATCAAGTCATTGGCCCAATGTTGCTCAGCTAGTAAATGGCTGAGCTGGGACTTGAACTCAGATCAGTTCATCCAAAGGTCTGGTTGGGCCAGAGTCTGTTCTTGGTGCTTTTCAGGTCCTCGGTGATCTATACTGACCCACTCAGAGTCTCAGCTCTGCCACTGGGCAAACTGGCAGTTATAACCCTGGTCTCTCAAGCCTTGGGTGCCCATTATGTCAGAGGAGATTGACAGCTTTTCTCCAGTTACTCATCCCGGTGACTGCACTGCTAGGGTGTGCCTAGCATCCTGCTCTGGCCTGGGAGCTGGAGAGGCTCCTTTTGTTTAACCTGGTCACGTGGTCGGGCCACTGAGAGGGCTGTGTAAACATGGAGTTCAACGGGGGGAAAGCCAGACACCCTGTATTCCAGATCTGACCTGCCAGGAGAACACCGTGTCCTGGGGACACAAGGAGGGTGTCTAGCAGATGATTAAACATTAAAATTCACAGCGCTCTTGCGTTTTGTTAAAGGAAGCTCTAATTACAGCCTTTTGTGCTTCGTACTCTAAAATGTAGTTTTTCAAATTTCAAAAACAAAATAGCCCTTGTACAACAACCGTTTAATAGCACAGTGTACTGTGGAGATATTTTTATGAGCCTTTAAGCAGAATGAATTTGACTTCTCTCCTCGGTTTCCATAGTAGGTTGCTGTTTGCTTATGTCAGTGAGCTAATTTCCCTGTCTTTGTGGTAGGCACAGAGACTTTTTTTTTTCCTCCTGCAGTACTGAACACTAAGCTGCTGAGGCTGACCTTGAACTTGAAATTCTCCTCCCTCAGCCTTCCTAGTTGCTGAGATTATAGGCGAGCACCTCTGCACTCAGCCAAGATTCATTTTCAAAGAGGAGAGGAGGGAGAGAGCGTTGTGGACTGCCCCTTAAAATTACACCAGAGGCCTGGGGTTGTAGCTCCGTGGTAGAGCGCTTGCCTAGCACGTATGAGACACTGCGTTTGATTCTCAGCACCGCATAAAAAATAAATAAATAAAATAAAAGCATTGATTCCATCTACAACTAAATATATTTAAAAATAAATAAATAAAAATTCCATCAGAACCTAGAGCTAGGTTTCTCTGCCTCAGCAATATTGATGTTTTGATCAGATAATTCTTCATTGTAGGGGACTGTCCTCATGTGTCACAGGATGTCATGTGTCTTCAACATTGTCAAGGGTCCCCTGAGGAGGAAAATTGCCCCAGGTTGAGAGCCACCTCTCTAGACTGTATTAGTTTCTTATTGCTGCTATAACAAGTGATGGAAAACTTAATGGGTTAAAACAAGGCAAAGTTATTCTCTGCAATTCTGGGGGTAGAAGCTCTAAAGTCAAGGGGTCAAGGGGCTTTGTTCCTCTGGAAGTTTTAGGGGAGACTCTCTTTCCTTGTCTTTTCCAGCTTCTAGAGGCCACTTGACTTCCTGTCTTGGCTTATATACCCTTCCTCCTTCTCCAAACCCAGCAACATAGCATCTTCAAATCCTTCTCTCTCTCTATTTGTGCTGGGGAAGGGACCCAGGCCCTGGAGTCCGCTAGGCAAGTACTATAACATGAGCCTCTTTCCCAGCCCTAAATCTTTCTTGTTGTCTACAGCCCGTGATTCCCTTTGAGAAACTGATGTGACTCCATTTTTGAAAATAAATAACAGCAGCTTCTACCTCAAGGCCTGTCCTAAGGAAGGGGGCATGACCCTTGACCTTGGAAAAACCCACAGAGCCTTTCTAGGCAGATAACTACCCTGCTGAGTTGTTTGTCTGCAAATAACAGGAGAGATCTGTGGTGATAGGTGTCCCTGACTCAGGTGTCCCTGACTCAGTTAGGCTAGGTGAAGACCCATAGCAACCCCCCCCCCCCCGCCACCACCAAACAGCATGAGACAGGGAAAATACCTGGGATGCCCTATGACCCTCCAGTAGTTTATGGTGGTTGATAACATGTTGGGAAACCATATAGTTCAGCACGTACACCCCTCGTGGCCTAAACCAATCAGTTCAAAGGAATCCCCCTCTTGTACTAACCAATCACCCCTACCCAACTTGTTCCCGCCAGTGAATGTGCTCATCAATGTTAAGAGCTGTTGTGTGACTTTTCCCACGGTATGATTTGCTGTGTGATGTTGTGATGCATAGAGTATCCCCCCCCAAAACCTATAAAATCTCACTGAACAAAGGACCGGGACTCACTCCCTGGGACCGCTGTGTCGGGAACGGTTGTGAGTCCAGGCTCGAGCTTGCAATGAAGACTCTTGTGTGATTGCATCGGATTC